GGTTCCAAAGACGCAGGTCAACTATCCAATTAAATTACTACTTCCAGAGATTACACTGTTACAGAATTCAGAGGGACATTTTCCACTTGTCAAAGGATTATCTGTCACCTTCCCAAGTTTCACATTCTTCTTGGGACTTTTGGACTTTCTTTTTCTTACCTTCTCAATTGGATGAGCTTTCTCTTCTTTATTACCTTATGACAGTTTTTTATGCAAATCTAAGATGAATTACAGTTTTTCCTACAAATTTCATTTTTTAAAAGATAACACAAACTTCTTGAGTGCAGGGAAGCTGTCATATATATACATGTATATGTGTGTGTATATAGTCGTGTTGCATGTATTTCTTTGCCTTAAAAGTGTGAATGTATGGATGCATGGATGGGCTTTTGTCAACAAGATTCATCAAAGAAGGCCAAAATAGGCCATTCACAGTGGCTCACCCCTGTAATTCCAGCACTTTGGGAGGCTGAGGCAGGAGGATTGCTTGAGCTCAGGAGTTCAAGACCAGCCTGGGCAACACAGTGAGGCACTGTCTCTACAAAAAATTTATAAAAAATCCAGGCATGGTGGCACATTCCTGCAGTCCTAGCTACTCAGGAGGCTGAGGCAGGAAGACTGCTTGAGCTGGGGAGGTTGGGGCTGCAGTGAGTGCTGATCATGCCACTGCACTCCAGTCTGGGCAAAAAAGCAAGACCTTGTTAAAGAAAGAAAAAAGGAAAGAGAAAGAAAGAAAGATGGATGGAAAGAAAGAAAGAAGGAAAGAGAGAAAGAAAGGACAGAAAGAGAGAAAGAAAGAAAGGAAGGAAGGAAGGAAGGAAGGAAGGAAGGAAGGAAGGAAGGGGATTCATAACTAGAAGCAAAGGAAATCCAGGCTGACCAAAAAGAATTGAGCACTCATTTTATACTTAAAATATTAAAGTCAGCAATTCTCAATTAGTATATCTCAAACTGTTCAAAGTGTGCCATAAATGTGGAATAATTTATGACATTTATTTTACGTCACCTTAGACTCTGTTGTGATAGATGGTTGGGTGAAACTAGTCATAGTGAGGGTAGGGTCAAACTTGATAGTACTATACATGAAGGAATGAAGCAATATCAAATAACAGTCATGGTTATTGGTTTAGCGGAGAACTTTGCTTTATGAGCATGTAAGAAAACCTGGCAACATAAAGCTTTATTCAAACAACAAAACAGTGCCAAATGGAGATCAAATAAATAGTTAGACAACAGTGGGTGCTTCTGAAGACACTTGATGCACCGTTGCATTATAGTAGTGATTTATGATGTACTTATTAATGACTTCAATATCATTTTGTTGTTGTTGTTATTGTTATTTTTTTTGAGACAGATTTTCACTCTTGTCGCCAAGGCTGGAGTGCAATGGTGCGATCTCAGCTCACTGCAACCTCCACCTCCCGGATTCAAGAGATTCTCCTGCCTCAGCCTCCTGAGCAGCTGGGACTACAGGTGCCTGCCACCACACTTGGCTGATTTTTGCATTTTTAGTAGAGATGGGCTTCACCATGTTGACCAGGTTGGTCTTGAATTCCTGACTTCAAGTAATCCTCCCACCTTAGCCTCCCAAAGTGCTGGGATTACAGCCACCACACCTGGCCTCATTTTATTTTTGTTTTTAATGCTTTCTAGTATACCACCAAAAATGAAATCATTTTCAATTGCACTGCCAACAGACATACACACAAGTATGAAGTATGTGAACAAATGAAGTGAAGAAGGGCTGCAATCCTATATGTGCGCCTCCTTCTGTCTATTTGTCTTAGGAATAAGGGATCCTGGAGACTCCTCTGTCTTTTGACCTCACTGAGGTTATTTCTCAAAGTGTTCTTTTTGATTTTCTAATCATGGGGGTTGGGATAGGAATGGTGAAGCAAGTTCAAATTTAAGTTGGCATTTTTTTTCTTCCATACTATTGTTCAGTGCTGTAGTACTGAACATTTTAAATATGAGTCAAAAGATAACTTTGTGTTCACTGATCAAGGGGAACAGATAGAAAAATATTTTAATTTATTAAACTTGTCCCTCAAAGTAGATTAAGCGACTGAACAAATAATAGTTTGAACACCTCTCATTCAGAATGTTTATGAGGAAGTAAAGCAGAGAGATGAAATCCATGCTACTTATTGTAAGGGAAGCTCTCATATCCATTTGAACAGATTGAAGCCTTTACATCCTACTCTATCTTTTTGGATCTCCCAGGGAAGAGAGAGTTGTGGATTCACAAAGTTAAGCCATGGTTCAGGAAAAGCCATGATCATTTCGTTGCCAGAAACCACATACAGCATGTGGGTAAACATGTCTAGACTTTTGGGAGTCTCCTCCCCAGAGCCCAAAGAGGGGCAGTGAAGCCTGGGATATTAGTCCCATTTCCATTTTCCTTCTTAATCTATGTGCCTTGAACCAGGTGGATGGGTTAGGAAAAAATGAGAATAAAAAACAAATTTTGCAAATTATTTAGGTTAACACATTTTCTTTTTTTTTTTGAGACAGAGTTTCGCTCTTTTTGCCCAGGCTGGAGTGCAATAGCGTGATCTCGGCTCACTGCAACCTCCACCTCCCAGGTTCAAGTGATTCTCCTGCCTCAGCCTCCCGAGTAGCTGGGATTACAGGCATGCACCACCATGCCTGGCTAATTTTGTATTTTTAGTAGAGACGGGGTTTCTCCATGTTGGTCAGGCTGGTCTTGAACTCCCGACCTCAGGTGATCCACCCGCCTCGGCATCCCAAAGTGCTGGGATTACAGGCATGAGCCGCTGCACCCAGCGGTTAGCATATTTTCAACCTTAAATAATGAGATCCAGAAAATATATTTAAGGATAGAGTTTATTTGAGCACAAAGCTTAAAGGTAGCCACATGGAAGACTTCCAAAGTGGAGGACGTAAAGTATCACTCATATAGGCAGAGAGAGAGAAATTTTAGCAGGATTATATTTTCCATATGGGACCATGAGTAGTTACAGCACTTTGATTTGTTACAGATTGCTACATTCCAAGGAAGATTACTTTATTGCTCCCGGAAAAGGGGTAGTGATCTGAGGGGAAGCCCATCCCCTTGGAAATATAGTAGGAACTTAAAAAAAACTTTTTATTTTGAGATAATCAGATTCACATGCAGGGTATAGTACAGAGAGATCCCAGGTACACTTTACTCAATTTTCCCCTAATAATAACATTTTGCAAAACAATAGTGCAACATCAACATTAAGATATTGACATAGTTCTAATCCACACATTTTGTTCAAATTTCCTGTTTTACCTGTACTTATTTGTGTGCATGTATGTTTATGCACATGTGCCTGTGTATTTATGTCTATGCAGTTTTAAAAAATAGACTTTGTGTTTTAGCATAGTTTTTGGTTCACAGCAATAATGAACAGAAGATACAGAGATTTCCTATGTACTCCCTGGCCCTACACATGGATAGCCTCGCCTATTATAAACATCCTTCACCAGGGTGGTACATATTTTTTGCAACTGATGAACTTACACTGACACATCATGGTCACCCCAAGTCCATAGTTTATATTAGGGTACACTCTTGGTATTGTACACTATATGACTTCGGATAAATTTATTATGACATGTGCCTACTGTTATGGCATCATACAGAGTAGTTTCACTACCCTCAAAATCCTCTGTGCTCTGCCTATTCATCCCTGCTTCTTCCCTAACCCCTGACAACCACTGATCTTTTCACTGTCTCCATAGTTTTGCCTTTTCCAGAATGGCATATACTTGGAATCATATGTTATGTAACCTTTTCAGATTGGCTTCTTTCACTTAGTGGCAGTGAAAAAAGATTCACTAAAAGGTTCCTCTGTGTCTTTCCATGGCTTGATAGCTCATTTACTTTTTGGTATTGAATAATATTCTATTGTATGGATGTACCACAGTTTATCCATTCCCTTGCTAAATGACATCTTGATTGCTTCCAAGTTTTGGCAATTATGAATAAAGCTGTTATAAACATCTGTGTGCAGATTTTTTTTTTTTTTTTTTTGGTGTGAACATGAGTTTTCAATTCCTTTGGATAAATACCAAAAAGGATAACTGCTGGATAATATTGTAAGAGTATGTTTAGTTTTATTTAAAAAACTGCCAAATTCTCTCTCCAAGTCATGGTACCATTTTGCTTTCCTACCAGGAATGAATGAAAATTGTATCCCCCTCACTCCCGAAATATATGGATGTCTTAATCCGCAGTGCTTATTAATGTGATCTTATTTGGAAATGTGGTCTTTGGAGAGGCAATCCAGTTAAGATGAAGTTGTTGGTGTGGGCATTAATCCAATATGACTGGTGTCCTTATTAAAAGAGAGAACTTTGGACACAGACATACACAGACAGGAGAACAGCATGTGAGGACAGAGATCCAGAGGGAAGACAGCCATGTGAAGACAGAGACAGAAACTGGGGTTCTGCTGCCACACGCCAAGGAAGGCCTGGGGCTCCAGAAGCTGGAAGAAGCAAAGAAGGATTCATCCTTACAGGTTTTAGAGGGAGCATGGCTCTGCCAACACTTTGATTTTGCACTTTCAGTCTCCAGAACAGAACTCCAAAAACTTCATTGGTATTAAGCCACCCATTTTGGAGTACTCTGTTACAGCAGCCCTAGCAAACTACTTGTGCTATGAGCATTCAGATTTCTCTCACACAGCTACTCAATGGCCTTCCTTTTTTCCCAGCAATGTCTACTCTGGGTTAAGGCTGTTTGTGTGCTTTGACTATACTCTCCCCCATTTTCGTCCTTCCCACCCAATGAATGTCACACTTTTCATATTTGCACAGCCTTGGTTTCCAGCAAGGATACAGACGATTTTCCCCTGATCTTGTCATACCTTTGCTCATTTCAGTCAGGAGCTAAACACCTGTGTTGAAGCCTTTAAAGAGCAGATGGTAATAGCTTAGTTGTCCTTTCTGAGATGTGACTAGAAGGTAGTATGGCTGTACTAGAACTCTTGAACCAAGAGATGTTGCTGCCAACTCACCCTTCAGTACAAGAATAATTAATTTGGGATCCGAACTGGATGTCTTTGATCACATGCACCATGCCATTCACAGGATCTCTAGGATTACGACATGATTTACCTACAGGAAAGAAACAGAATTTTGGAGCCAAGTAGAGTAAACTGCAAATTTTTTTTAGTACATAAGGTCTCAACCTGCCTGTAGCTTACTGAACACATGCAGTTCTGATGGTTCCACAGATTTTCTTACCTTGAGGAAACTCACTAGACTACCTTGGGATCAGCTCCCTTTCATAAAAAACTTCCCTTTCAGATCTGTTTCATTCCCATATTATGCCTCCCAGAAAAATGTAAACTTTGTTATTATCTGTAATTCAATTCAACTGGTATAATCCAAAGATCTCAAAGCCCAAGATTATCACATCTTTTAGTTATTTAAACCACTTCCCTTTCTTGTCCCAAGTCATTCATTACTTAATTTTAGTCATGTAAATGGGAGACCCCCAGTGAATGGGGATTTTCCCTCAATCATGTCCTGTGATGGCTGTTTCTCATGAAATAAACTTGTAATGAAGGCTCCAGGAACTCAAAGCAGTAACAAGGTATGATCTACAAGAATAATTCTCTTATATATTTTGCACCTTGGCAAACTAATTGTCATATGCAACTCAGTCACAAAATTTGAACAAATTGAATCAGATCTTACAGATGTTTGACTGACAGAGGGGTTCCCACTCCAGAGTTACTTACGTATGCACTTGTCCTTAGCACTTGTCCAGACTGAGTTTTTTAGGCAGATGATAGAAAACGGTCTTCCATAATAACCAGGGCGACATTCATACTTCAGATGTGTCCCAATGGAAAACTCAGACTCATCAATTAGTTCGGTAGGCCTGGCAAATGGAAGCTGTTCTGGGGCATTGCATTGACCTGGAGATCAAGACCATAGCAGCATCAAAGTTAATGAAGAAATTACCATACTTTTTTTTTTTCTTTTTTGAGACAGAGACTGGCTCCATCACCCAGGCTGGAGTGCAGTGGCGCTATCTTGGCTCACTACAACCTCCACCTCGTGGGTTCAAGCAATTGTCCCTACGTCAGCTTCCTGAGTAGCTGGGATTACAGGTGCCCACCATCACACCTGGCTAATTTTCGTATGTTTAGTAGAGACGGGGTTTTACCATGTTGGTCAGGCTGGTCTCGACTCCTGACCTCAGGTCATCTGCCCACCTTAGCCTGCCAATGTGTTGGGATTACAGGAATGAGCCACCGTGACCCTGTTGAAATTCCCATTCTACTTTCTTTCTCTCCAATATACTACATAGATGTGATCAAAAAAGAAAAAGAACACTTCAGTAATAGCCAAGGGGTGCAGGAGTGGTGGCTCATGCCTGTAATTCTAGCACTTTCAGAGGCTAAGGTGGGTGGATCACTTGAGGTCAGGAGTTTGAGACCAGGCTGGCCAACATGGTGAAACCCTGTCTCTCCCAAAATACAAAAAGTTAGCAGAGCATGATTGCATGTGCCTGTACACGTGCCTGTGCACGGCTACTCGGGAGGCTGAGGCAGGAGAATTGCTTGAACCCAGGAGTAGAGGTTGCAGTGAGCCAAGATTGTGCCACTGCACTCCAGCCTGGGTGACAGAGAAAGATCCCATCTTAATAATAATAATAATAATAGCAAAAGGACTGATTCCTTTAGAACAGTAGTCCCCATCCTTTTTAGCACCTGGGACTGGTTTTGTGGAAGACAATTTTTCCTGGAATGGAGGGTGCAGGGGAATGGTTTTGAGATGAAACGGTTCCACTTACATCATCAGGCATTAGATTCTCATAGGGAGCACGCAACCTAGATTCCTCGTATGCACAGTTCACAATAGAGGTTTTGCTCCTATGAGAATCTAATGCTGCCACTGATCTGACAGGAGGTGGAGCTCAGACAGTAATGCTTGGCTGCTCACCTCCTACCGTTCTGCCCAGTTCCTAACGGGCCACCGGACAGTACTGGTTCATGGCCCAGGGGCTGAGGAAACCTGCTTTAAAAGATGCCTCAGAAATAAGCTCCTTTTTAAAAAATCAGCATCCATCCATTCAAAAAGTCTCTGCTAGTTTGAAGGCAACTAAGCTATTTATATCATCTTTCACTAAAGGAGGAGCTGCATTTCACAGCTTCAAAATTTAGTTAATCAGTAAGTGCCTGTGCTGTGGCTTCATCTCTCCCATCATCATGCATAATTCTTTCTTGTAATGAGATCAGTCAGTGAATCCAATCTGTTAATATTTATTCAAATCTTCTAGATGCTTACTGATTTTGGGGGGACTACTTGGTTTACTAGATACTAAATGAGTTGTACTAAAATATTTTATTTATTGTACATTTGTCTATTTCTTTTTATAATGTTGTCCATCTATTATTTTATATATTTTGAGGTTATCAGGATTATAAAAAGTTAAATTGCTATATTTTATGGTAGAGCAACCTTCTTTATTATAATAAAATATCTCTATCTCTAGAAATGAATCTTGCCTAAAATTCTACTTTGTTTACTTTATTTGTGGGACAAATAAAAAATAAATAATGAGTTGGGAGATCTACTCCCCAATATATAAGTGCTTACTTTGAATATAGAGTAGTCACCCACGTATCTGTGGGGGACATGTTCCAAGACATTAGCCAATACCTGAAACCTCAGATAGTACCAAACCTGATAGCTGTCAACTAGAACACATTTCTGTTCACATTTTCCACCCACAAATTTAATGCCTTTCCCCTCTTAACTAAGCACTTAGCATGCACTGTGGTTGTAACTTTTGCAGTTTGAAATGTGACCACAAAACTAGCACAGATTTATTTTTCCTTCTTCACAATTTCATCGTTAGAAGATTCCTTCTTACCTTAGGTCTTAGCAACTTTAACATACAATGTTTTTCTTTCCTTATTAAGTGAACAACTTTCACCTTTTCACTTAAAGGAAGCACTTGCTACTAAACTGGACCCTAATGGTAATGAACTCCCCTATTAGGCTCAGCTAAAATTTTGAGAATCTATATGGAAAGATGTGGTAGGCTAAGTAAGGACCTCTCAAAGACATCCATGTTCTGATCCCTGAAGCCTGTGAATGTTACCTGTAATGGTAAAAGGGCTTTGCAGATGTGATTAAGAATCTTGAGATGTACAGATTATCCTGGGTTATCTAGGTGGGCCTTAAATGTAATCACAAGGGTCCTCATAAAAGGGAGGTAAGAGGGTGAAAGGAGACAGAAGAAAGATATTTAAAGACACTATGGTGCTGGTTTGGAAGGTAGAAGAAGGAGGCCATGAGCCAAAGGATGGAAGCAGACCCTGGAAACTGGAAACAGCAAGAAAACCCCTTCTCCCCTGGAGCCTACACAAGGAACACAGCCCTATGGATCTATTTTAGATGTCAGTCTCCAGAACTGGAAGAGAATACATTTCTGTCGTCTTAAGCCACTAAGTTTGTGGAAATTTGTTACAGCAGCAATAGAAAACTAATACAAAAAGAGAATGGTATATAACGTTAAAAATGTTGGGTTCATAGATTGAACTTTGAACCCAATGTCTTCTACTTAATGGCTATGAGGTCTTAGGCAAACTGCTTAATCTTGCTGAGCCTCAGTTTCATCTTCATAAAGGGACTAATATTTTCCTACCAGGTTTGTAGGAAGAATCAAAAGTAGTATATGCTCTCACATACACAGAAGCACTTCATAAGTTATACTTATGATTATTACCCTTAGAAAAGGCGGGGGACTTCTAAGAGTTAAATTTTATCATTCTGCTAAAGTGGGAGTGCTTGCTTTGCTTCCAAGAGTTTATTTTCTGCTCCTTTGCAGAGCTAGTTTAGAATGAGCCTATGTTGTTGGGAATGCACTGGATGACCTCAGTGATTGGGGACCTCAGCTCTCCTGAGTGAAGATGCCCCCGATTCAGCCTGGAACTTCTCTTCTGCATCTCATGAGCTCCATCATAGTGCCCACGGGATCCCGGACAGAGAGGAGAATTGCTAAGGTTGCCTTTTCCCTGTTGACAATGGCTTTAGTCAGAATTGGAAGCCTAACTCTGTGCTTTCTACTGAAGCAAAGGATGATGCTCCAAGAAAGCTCATATTTCTCACTTATTTTTCCCAGACAGCCTGTATCCATCATCACACATTTGCTTTATTAAGCCAGCAGTTGTTAAACAAGGATGCCCTTATCTATGTTTCCTGCTTCATCTCATGCCACTTGGTCCCCTCACCAAGGTGTGGCCCTTTCCCCTTTTTCAGTTTCCCGAAGACACACATTTTTCCCCTGTCTATGATATTCCTTCTGTGTGACGCACTTTTATCTTTGCTCTGACTTTGATTCTTCCTCCAGGTGTCTGTTAAAATGGTACTTTCTTATCGAAGCCTTCCCTGGCCTGTCTATGGCCATACCGCCCTGAACACACCCAATCTCATCTGAAGCCTTCCCTGACTCTCTTAGGGATTTGGCATTGTTTGTTATTACAATTTGTGCCTTTTATCTTTGTGTGCTTTTAGAAGGATCTATTTCTCTCAATAGATATTAAACATGAATAATTTAAAGGCAAGAGATGATGTGTTTTTTGTACCTCTAAATTAATACCTAGTCCTGGTGCTTAACACTTAATCATAAGCACTCAATGCATATTTGTTGCAAAGAACAACAAATGAAGAATTACTTATAAAACTTAAAAAAAAATCAAGAATTCAAGCTATGTCCCCCAAATCTCTGATTTAGTTGGTCTAGTTTAGAGCCCAGGAGTCTACATTTTTAAAAATTTTCACAGCTGATTTTGATAGATAACAGCACTTTGAGAACCACTGTAAAAACAAAAACAAAACAAAAAAAAAAACAAAAAAAAGCACAAAAAAAAACCTGAGTAAAACAGTTCCTGTTATTTTCAGTGTTATGCATTCACCTTTCCTCTAATTGATACATGGGATAAAATAGAATTTCGATATTTGTCTTATCCATTGATGCTGGACAAAGGAAGAAATTCCAAGTGAAGCGCCTAGTGCCAAAAGCTGTATTAAGAGAGGGTAAATGTCACAGCAAAGCTTGCAACAAGAGGATAGAACAAGACCTAAAGTAACAAAACAAATTGAATGAACCATTCTTGGAAAGAAGTTCCTTCCCCTTACGTACATAATATTCTTACCTGCGTAGTAGTATATGAATAGTGTAGGTAATTATAAAAAGTAAAGTTGTATAATAGCTCAAAAAAGGAATATATGAGCCTTCAACAAAGAAAGCTTGATATAGTTTCCTTTCCCTCCTTTATTACCAATCCGTCAATTGCGGCTAGTTCCTATGATAAATATATTAATATAAACTCCATAAACTGAAGACCTACCATAATTTTAAAAAGTTTTTATAGCTTTCTCAAGATATATTATATACAATGATTGATTAGTATTTAAAGTACACAATTCGATTACTTATATGTATGCATTGTGAAACCATCACCAAAATGAAGACAATAAACATTTCCATCATACACCCCACCCCCCCAGAGTTCCCTCATGTCCTTCTGTAATCCATCCAAACATCCACTTCCTTCCCTAGGCAACCTTCAACGTGTTTTCTCTTACTACAGATTGATTTGACTTTCTAAAATTTCGTATAACCCGAATCACCTCGTTTATATCCTATCGTATAAAGGAAATCACTCAGGTGCTTTTCTCTTACTACAGATTGATTTGACTTTCTAAAATTTCATATAACCTGAATCACTTCGTTTATATCCTATTGTATAAAGGAAATCACTCAGGTTTTTTTTTTTTTTAATGTTTTAGCCTTTACACAACATAATTAGAGATCCATCTAGATTGCTGCACATATAAAAATTGTTTCCTTTTGTTGCTGAGTGATATTCATTGTATAAATATATCTTAATTTAGTTTATCCATTCACTTGTTCAGGGACATTTGGATTGTTTCCACTTGTTGGTTATTACAAACAAAACTGCTATGAAAATTCACGTACAAGTCTTTGTGTGGACATATGATTTCATTGCTCTTGGGTAAAAAACTAAAGAGTAAAATGCTGAGTAACATGACAGCGTGTGTGTCTAAGGTTTTAAGAAGCTGTTGAACTATTTTCTGAAGTTAATGTTATAATTTTACCTGCCAAATAGCAGTATATTATAATTCCAGTTGCTTCACCTTATCGCCAACACTTGGCTTAGTCAATCTTTTTAAAGTTAGCCATTCTAGTGGGTATATATTGTTATCTCCTTTTCGGTTTTGTCTTATATGACTCAGCCCACTTTCACATTCTCCTGGTTCAGATCTTCCATTCAAAGCAAGTTGATTTATTCTGTGCTATACACACAATTAACACATAATCACTTTCATGTCTGTTGAAATATAAGCTATCAACCCAAAGAACACTCCTGCTTTCCATTCTGCACACTTACCCTTTAAGGAATAGACTTGCACTTGCTTTGCTTAGGCACCTCTTTCAGTTTAAAAAAAAAAAAGCATGCACTTTCAAAATATATAAATTTATAAATTATATATGTACTCAAACATAAATTTTATGTCTCAATATAAATTTTTTGAAATGTAATACAGATAAAATAAATATTTTAAATGCCTTGTTAATCATTATGACTTAACACAATCATTAGTTGACATCTAATGGGACAAAAAACAGCCACAGTGAGTTTCTCTGGTCACAGTAGTGAATGTAAAGCTGTATGTCAACTGTCTTCATGATACTTTCTAGATTTTTTGGTTTCATCAAGTTGTGATCAGCTGTGATTAGACTGACAGCATTTATTCCTCTTAATGCCTCTGACAAAAAATGTGTATACATGTGTCTTTGCGGGGAGGGTGAGAGGGATTGTCAACTCTGCCATTTTCTTGTTTTCTGGAGTTGGTTTTATTACAGGGATCTTCACCCAGTATTTCTGTGTAGGACACTTTTGATGTTACCTGTCCAAATGTGAAGATTATTTTAGATTAAAATAGATAATATAAATCATACATCCACTCATCTGAGCATATGTAAACCAGAATAAAGCACAGAAAGCAAATTGGAACTTCCCTTCTTTCTTGCACCTTTACCTAGCAGGGATAACCAAACCAGATCCTACATGAGGACCAGATGAGGGCGCCAGAGTTCACCCTATGCTAAACACTGCCTGGTAAAGCTTAATTTGCGTACTATTTTATGGCTCAGAATGTGGTCTATCCCCATGAATGTGAGCCGGAGAATACGTGTTCTGTTGCTGTTGGATGAAGTCACCTATATATGTCAATTATATCCAAGTGGATTGATGGTGCTGTTGAGTTCAAGTATGTCCTTATGGATTTTCTGCCTGCTGAATCTGCCCATTTCTGATAAGGAGACTTCAGCACCTTTTCTGATATCAGAAAGATATCATAGAAGTCTCCAACTATGATAGTAAATCCATCTATTTCTCCTTGCAGTTCTATGGGTTTTGCCTCACATATTTTGTCTCTCTGTCAGGTGCATACATATGGGATATTGTTATGTCTTCTTGGATAAGTGGCCCCTTTATCATTATATGATGCCCCTCTTTATCCCTAATAATTTTTCTTGGTCGGAAGTCTGCTGTGTTTGAAATTAACACAGTTACTCCTGCTTTCTATAACTAGCATTAGCATGGTATATCTTTATCCATTTACTTTTAATATATATCGTCTATATTTTAAATGGTCTTGTTGTACACAATATATTGTTGGGTCTTGTTTCTTGATCCACTCTGATGATCTCTGTTTCAAATGGTGCATTTAGATCATTGGCACTCAAAATTATTGTTGATATGGTTGGTTTAGTGTTTGTTACTGGTTTCTATTTGTTGCCTTTGTTCTCTTGTTCTGTGTTTCTACTTTTTGTCTTCCATTCTTTTCCTGCCCTTTATTGTTTTATTGGTTTCCTTCCTTCCTCCTTCCCTCCCTCCCTCCCTTCTTCCTCCTTCCTTCCTTCCTTCCTTCCTTCCTTCCTTCCTCCGTTCTTTCTCTTTTGATATGTAGTTGGCCTCTGTCACCCAGGCTGGAGTGCAATGGCATGATCTCCGCTCACTGCAACCTCCATCTCCCAGGTTCAAGCGATTCTCATGCCTCATACCTCAGTCTCCCGAGTAGCTGGGACTACAGGCACCCGCCATCATGCCTCGGTAATTTTTGTATTTTTGTAGAGACAGGGTTTCACTATGTTGGCCAGGCTGGTCTTGAACTCCTGACCTCAGGTGATCCACCCACCTCAACCTCCCAAAGTGCTGGGATTACAGGCATGAGCCACCGTTCCCGGCCCTCTTTATTGTTTTAACTGAACATTTTATATGATGCAATTTTCTCTTTCTTATTCACATATAATTATCATTCTTTTTTTCACTTTTTTCAGTAGTTGTCCTACATTTGCAATATCTATTTGCAGCTAATCTAAGTCCTCTTTCAAATAGCCCTATACCACTTCACGGGTACTGTGAGTTAATCATAATAACAAACCAATCCTAGTTCCTCTGCTATGTTTTGTATAGAAATAAATATCCCCATAAACTGTCCTATGCAACCTGTTTCTGGATTCACTCTTTAAGTGCTAGTAAATCCATACACCTTTCACTCACACTTTCCTGATCGTAGGAGCTAAGACTTCTCCCTTTTCAGTAATCCTGCAGTCTTGCATGACTTCTTAGCCATGATTTTTCAGACATGCATGGGGGTTTTCAGATTACAAAACACTGTCACATGCATTACACCATCTGATTTTCAAAATACCTCTTTCAGAGATCAGGATGTCAGTTATGCTCATTTTATACATGTGGACACTGAAGGTCAGTGATGTGACTTAACTTACTGGGTCCAAGACCCCAGCTGGTAAGTAGCAGAAGCTGGAAAAAGCCGAGCCCTGGCTTCCTAATAAGTAGATTTCATAAAACTCCACCACCTACTTCTACATGCATATACCTTGGGTGCATAGCTCTTATACTTCTTTAAAATTCTAAAGGACCGTGCACACTGGAAACATCCATCAGCATTTTAAAATTTAAATTATGTCAGCAAGAAAATTTCCAGGTAGTATAGTTTAGGCTGTTTCACATTTGGAGGTTATTGTGATAACCTCAGTAATTTTTTTATTTTTGCAATTAATAGTGTCTGGGATTGTTTATAACAGTAACTTAATCAACATAGGCAAACTAAAACAACATTCTAGTAAGAAAAGGGTCAGTACTCACAAGGATGACACAAATTCTTAAGCACTGACAACAGATTGCTTAACTTACTGGGCATGCTTCTCTCCTAAAAATAAAATTATAAGTTTTATCATATCTCTTCACCTGACAGGTTACTTTCTGGTGCCTAAGGAGATCAAATAGTAATAACAACTCTTGCGGGAACTTGGTTTTAATTTATTTTATTTTTTACTCTTTTAGAGAAGAAGGAACACTCAAATAAAGAATGCAAAATGTCTAGTAGCAGAGAAGGGCGAACCTGGAGTTGTCAGAAGAGGCTGGACAGAAACAACCAAGACTGTCACTTCAATTGAGATGTTGCCAGTGAGTCTAGGCAAACAAGAAGACTTCCGGGGAGCCCAAAAATAATAATAGAAGGGTTCTAATTGAAGATGTTTACCTATGTGAAGTTAAGAAAAAGGAAGAGATGCGGCCTCAAAATTTCCATAGTAGTTATAATAATAGGCTTTATTTTGCACTAAACACATCCCTAAAATGCGAACTGTAAACATATCTACTGTTCCTTCTACCTGCAGCGGTTACACTGCACGTTCTGGGGCTGCCCTTACTCCTCTAATCTCCAAGTGCCTGGCATACATCTGTCTTAAAATATACTATCAGTCAAGTGCAAGGGTGATGATAGCGGTGGTGGCTGGGGGTGGGGGACGAGGACAGTTCTATGCGGGGCAGTTGTCAGGTAATACCTGCATCCCTAGGACTGCTTGTCTAAACACCACTGGGAGCAAAATGCAGAGGCAATGGTTGGGGGGATAGAAATGGACTCGGGGACAGGCCCTGTGTTAGACACTCGACAGACTTTATGCCACTGAGGCAGCAACTCCACAATGCACAGATATCAATGTCCCCATTTTACAGAAGAGCAAACAGACTTAGGTGTGCTAAGCTGCCTCATAGTTAAGTTTCTAGGACCAGAACTCAGGTTTGTCGGATCCCCAAGTCCCCTTTCGCTAGGATCAACGCCATGCTCCGCTATAGCCAGCCTAGACTGTGAATACACAAATGCAAGGAATTTCATGCGACACCCGCTCAGCATCTGCGCCTTCCTCTGCGCTGGTCACGACTTAAGCCCCATGCACATGGGGACTCCACGCTTACCCAGAAGCAGCGAGGGTCTCCAGTGCGCAGAAGGATCCCAGACCCGCCGCCCTGCCGGTTCGCGCGCTCAGCCCACCCATCGCACTGCCTTCGGACCCGGGCGCCCAGAGCAGCGCAGCCCAGCGAAGCACGAGAGTTCCCTGCGGGACCCCGGGTGCCTCGTCCGCCCAGGCGCCTCCCCACGCCCGCCCGCGTCTCACCCCAGGCCACCGGCAGCGCGAGCAGCACCACAACCGCCAACAGGGATCCTCCGCAGCAGAAGAGGAGACGGGGCTCCGGCGGCCCAACAGGCTCCGGGCTTCTTGGAGAAGAGGCCCTCATTCTCCCCAAGCACATCTACAAACCAGATTTGTTCTCGAAGAAAGCTGAAATAAAAGGAAAAGAGCAGTACAAAGAGGAGTGACCAATCCTTGTGCTCCGCGCCCAGGGTATGGGGAGGGCTGCGGGGTTCCGGGACAAAATGCTTTTGACCACAGCTTCCTCTTCATGGGCGAGGCCATGTTTACTCCCCATTTGCATTGTTTCTAACGGGTTTCTCTGGCAGAGCCCACCTTGCGGACCCAGGTGCAGCAGCAGAGCTTGACAATGCTTGGGCTTCCGATGGGTCGCGCGTGCGACGCTCTGCGCTTACAGACAAAGGTGGTGGATGACGGCAGCTCGCCTCCAAACAGCCTGCTTGACTATTCCTCTTTGCAAGAATGTGTGTGGGAAGGTCAGCTAATGAAATGCCTGGTCTCTGTGTTGAAGCGCAATTGCAGGCGATGTGTACAGTGTACAGAGAATGTGAAGAACCAATTTCCTTATCGTGAATTGAGATGTCAGGCCATCGTAAGATTTTTAAAAAGGGAGAGACGATCAGATATACATCTTTAAAATGTATATCTGTGTATAGTATGAAAGGTAGATTAGAATAGGGCAGTAATGGAGAGGGGAGACCAGTCAGGGAGCTTTTGCTGACATCCAAGTGAGGTTTGATGGCGGCCCTGACTGGGTGGATAAAGTGGATAATTAACAAAGATTTTGGAGATGAAATAAACAGTTGCTTGTGTACTGGATATTGGTTACTTCCTTTCTTAAGGTTGGTGGTGAGAAGAAAGCAATCAAGAGTTAACCCCAGGATTAAAAATGGATGGTGGTGCTACTTATTGAAATAAGAAATATGGATGTAGGAGTGACAGATTTAGGGTGACGGTTAAGTATTCAAGGATGAATTTATTCCTCCTATCTATCTGTGATCCTGTGCCCTTTAACCAATCTGTCTTTATCTCCCATTGTCTCTCCCTTCCCCAGCCTCTGGTAACCAGTACTCTACTCTCTACTTCTATGAGATGAGCTTTTTTAGAGTCCACATATGACTGGTATCATACAGGATTTGTCTTTCTGTGCGCACTGGTTTCCATTAGGCTTTCTCCCAAAATTCTAGTGGAAGAAATGTCTACTTTGATCATATCACTTATCACACTTTTTAATACATCCAGTGACATTCTTTTAAGGATTTGCTATCATCATTTCAAGTTATTCTCGACAGAGTAATGGGAGAAGCAGTTAGATTGTAGTAGGCTTAGGAAAAGAGAAGAGGAGAAGGCTCAGTTTCCCAGTTTTCCATCACATGCTATCAGAAGGTGCCACTCCTTACCACTTCTGCTGGTATCCATCTCCTAGTGTCTACTTTCTCCCCTCATTCCTTGAAGGTTTTAGCTCCTGGCTCATGGCCACCTTCTTCACTATTACTTCTGCCACAGTACCTGGTGATTTCAATATTCACAGCAATAGTATTTTCAAATCCCTGGCCTTAAAGTGCCTTGACCTCTTCTCTGCCTGTGGTCTTGTCCTCTACTCTCCTCTGACACTAATGCTCATGTGCATGATCTGAAACTTGTCACTGTCACTGCAACCCTCAATGATTTCAGTGATCCCACTCTTTAACCACCAATCCTACTCTTCTCTTTTACCATTAAACTGAATCCAGCAATCTTTGTCTGTCTCAGTGCCTGCAACCCATTGATCCTACCGCTCTCTCTCTCAGCCTCTCACCTCCTTCGTGTCTTCACTTTCATCACTACCTGGTTAAATTCCATACTCTGTCATTATAATCATCATCTTGCACCCACCATTAGCCCCCTCACCCTTCTCTTGCTTTATTATAGGCATTAGACAAATCAACAATCCTGGTTAGAATCAATTCTCCATTATTTTGCTCCCATACCTGTGAAACTGAATGTGACTGGAAAAGACACAGAGATACAATGACTAGCCTTACTTTAGTAACAAAGAATTTCAAATGGACCATTGTACTGCTGCCTGACATTTCCACTATTTTTTGTCTAATCTATTTATTCTCCCATTCTCCTAAATGACTATTTCATATTTTTGACATTTATTTCTGACACCTTCTCCAACATTCCTAATCTCTGTGAATAGCTTTGTTTCTTTCTTTATTGAGAAAATAGAAACAATCAAATAGATCTACAATTTTCTACCATCGCTCCACCAAAATTCTTGTATTTGGCCCATGTAACCTCCTTCTCTCTTGTTAGTGTATTTATACTGTCCACAGTCTAAGTCTAAGGGTGATCTCTCCGCTTGTTCCCTAGATTCAGTTTGCTCTCACTCGCTCAAGGAAACCAGCAATTCTCACTTTCTCCAGCATTATCATACCCCTCTTTCTGCTGGATTTTTACCATCAGCATGCAAACAAATTATTTCTCCAAGTACAGCAGGTGTGTTTTTCTCTTCAGTTTGTTTCCTCCCATTTCATAGTCCTTTTGCTTAGAACGATCTTTGCCCAGATATCTGTCTGCATGGCTACTGCCTCATCTTCTTGAGTTATTTGGCTCAAATGAGACCTTCGTAATGGAGCCTTTCTTGACCACTATTTAAAATTGCACATTAATTCAGAACTTCCTTTCCTTTTTGCTTGTTTTATATAGATTAAAACATTATACTTATCATTTTTTTCATTTTATTACCATCTGAAAATCTGCTTATTGTGTCTCTCCCACTAGAATAAAAGCTGCATGAGAACATGTCAGTTTACCACTGCCAAATCCCATGACCTAAAATAATGCTTAGCACAGAGAAGGAGTTCTACAATTATTTCTTGAATGAATGACTACAATGGTTGAGACAGCTAAGGTCAACCACTCTTTCAGAAAATTTGGTAGTAGACAGATAGTTTAAAAGAGAAACATAGATGGTTTGGGGGAAGATTTGTTTTCAGATAGAGGGGAAGGTGGATATCTGTTGCTCTAAATGTGTCCCTTCCTCTGGGATTTGCCCCTAGGTTTTTCCATTGAGAAATCCCCTTTTTCCCATAGTTCAGTGTGATTCTGGAAGACTATGGTTTCTCGACCTCCATATTATTGACATCGTGGACCAGATAATTCTTCGTTCTGGAGGGCTGTCTTGTGCCTTAGAGAATGTGTAGCAGTATCCCTGGCCTCTACCCACTACAGGCCAGAAGCACTTCCCTCTTCCAGTTGTAGTAACCAAAAATGTCTCTAGACACTGCCAAATGTCATTGGGAGGGCAAAATCATCCCACTTGAGAACCAATGAGGTAGACCAACCCTACCCCTATCTCCAAGGCTGGGCGGGCAACTCAGGCCTTGCCCTGTGTTTATTTCACTGTCTTGCTCCTAGTTATTGCTTCCTTTGGGGACATGTAACCCTATTTGGAGAATGAGAGCTATTGAAGGGACTTTTGAAAGACTTATTGGACAATAGAAGCTCTTTGTACTGGAAAGCTAAGCTGATGAGACATGCACTTCACATTGTAAGCAAATATTTTGCTGGTTTTTAGGGAGTTTCTTCCAGAGAATGAAGCCAGCAAGGCAAAGCAGAAGGAGAAGATATTCCTGAAGGCATGCTTTGACTATTCCTGTTTTGACAAGAGCCAACTACACGCCTGGCCTTTTCTGTCATGTGATTTAGTAAAATTCATTTTTGGTTTAAGCCAGTGTGAGGTGGATTTCTGTCACATGCAGCTCATCAGGTCTTGGCTTCAGGAGTTTTGGAGGTGGAACGAAGGAGCCAGTGATGAGAGAGGGTCTAACTAAAGGAACAATGTCCTGGAAAAGACAGAAAGGGATGAGGAGAGAAAGATATAGGCTGTGAAAAGTGTAAGACAGACATGATGGTAAGGGTGAGTGGACGTAGATATGATGGAGGGTGGAGGGAGAGGAAGTTGAGAGAATTACCCTCGGATATTTTCATCATCCCTTAATAGAAGGAAGAAAGAATGAATGTAGAATAGATGGCTTGAGGTGAGTGAACAGACAACATGGGGAAATGAAAGTGTTGGTGACTGTACATGAATAAAAGATGCTGAAGAGCATCCTACTTCTGGATATGGATCCAAAAGAATTGAAAGCAATGTCTGAAAAGATATCTGCACATCCATGCTCATGGAAGCACTATTCACAATAGCAAAGAGGTGGAAACAACCTGATATGGTTTGGATCTGTGTCTGCACCAAATATCATGTCGAATTGTAATCTCCAGTGTTGGAGAGGGGCCTAGTGGGAGGTGACTGGATCATAAAGGTGGATTTCTCTTGAATGGATTAGCTTGGTACTGTATAGGGAGTGAGTTCTCACCAAATCTAGTAGTTTAAAAGTGTGTTGCACCTGCCCCCTCTCTCTCTTCTTCCTGCTCCCACCGTATGGGATGCCTTTCTCCCCCTTTGCCTTCCTCCATGGTTTTGAGTTTCCCAAGGCCTCCCTAGAAGGCAGGAAGAAATCAGCATCATGTTTCCTGTACAGACCCTGGAACCATAAGCCAATTAAACCTCTTTTGTTTATAAATTACCGAGCTTCAGGTATTTCTAATACAGAAAATTGGTACCCAGGTGTGGGTCATTGCTATAAAGATACCTGAAAATGTGGCAGCAACTTTGGAATTAGGTAACAGACAGAGGTTGGAAAAATATGGAGGGCTCAGAAGAAAGCTGTGTTCCCATCCAAATCTCATGTAGAATTGTAATCCCCAGTTGTTGGAGGTGGGACCTGGTAGGAGGTGATTGGATCATGAGGGTGGATCCTTCATGAATGGTTTAGCACCATACCCTTGGTGCTGTTCTAGTGTGTGGCACCTCCCCTCTCTCTCCCTTGCTCCTGCTTCTGCCATGTAAAACATGCCTGGCTTCCCTCTTTACCTTCTGCCCTAATTGTCTGTTTGCTGGGGGCCTCCCCAGAAGCTGAGCAGATGCCAGTATCATGCTTCTCATACAATCTGTGGAACTATGAGCCAATTAAAACTCTTTTCTTTATAAATTACTCAGTCTCAGGTATTTCTATATTGCAATATAAGAATAGACTAATACACAATCTAATGGCTACTGAGAGATAAATGGATACACAAAATGTATAAACAAAATTGCATATACACCCAATGAATTTCTTTCTTTCCTTAAAAACGAAATTCTGACACATGCTACAATATT